GGGGGGGGGGGGGGGGGGGGGGGGGGGGGGGGGGGGGGGGGGGGGAGGGAGGAAAGGGGACGAGGAGGGATTAGAATTTTCGGAGCACGTCTCTAATCCATATGCGAACCTTTACTTTTAAAATCGTCATTCATGTACACTCATATCTCATGTATGCTAGAAGAGTTCATGTAAATTTGCTGGAAAAACGTTCTTGGAAAGCAGACAAAACAGGAAACTGAATACAAATATATCCTGTGCCGTGTGCGAACTAACGACTTCAAATTTAACTTTAACACACATATCAAATTTGAAGTCGAGGTATTGTTGGCAGAGTGCCAACTCAGCAACTGTGGTGAATAAGTTCCTCTTATTTTACATGAATGTTTGCTACATATGTGCAGGCTACTGAACGTAAAATCAGCGTTTGCGTACGCTTGAATTACGCGGTCACGACAAATATATTTACTGCGAAAAAGCAATTTTGCGGGGCCAGACAAGCTAGAAGCAAAAATTTTGTGGGATGTTCTTTAGCCGTATATGACCTAAATCCTTTAAAATTCAGTTTTGCGACACAAATGGGCTTCCCGTTAAGCACAAATAAAGTTTCAGTTTTGAATAATTTGTTGAGATTTATTTGAATAATTGAGATTAACGCTGCAGCTAGATTGAATGCGCATGTGCGACGAGCCTGTAAGCTTAAAATGAGTTTTTGCGTACGCATACGCTCCGTGCACGGACGTATGAATGTTTAAACTGGAGCACTTTCACCATCCTTCTCTCTCAATAATCAAATAGGTGAGAAAGGCGCAAATTTTACGAGAATGCTTGCATAACTTTTGGGTGCAAAGAATGTAGCATTTTTCACGGACGTTTGCGTCTTTGTGCGCACACGGCAAACTTGAGGACGCAAAACACCGACAGCCTCTCCACTGTGAAGAAAAAATTCATATATTAGAATCGGCGTGAATTAGCATTAGAATTAGCATGAATTCATATGTTAGACTGTGGAGCACCATTCGTACTGTTAACGTCCTCTCTGCATCATGAGCGATCGCACCGACAACTCTGGTACGCGCTGCTTTTGATCAACCTGCGCAAGAATAATAAAGATCATTGGCGACGCGCGCTGAGCGGGCCCGTGCGGTCATGCGTTTTTGCAGTGTTTTGTGCTGTAATAGGATCACTCGAAATTCCGCTAGCTAAAAACCTCTGACATACTGGTTTTCAAATTTCGGGAAGTTAATTGCCCACGCTATACTTGAACATTCCCTTGAAATCCCAAGTTCCCAGCTTTCTCAGTTCTCGATTTGCCGTATTCCAGCAAGAAAATTTCACGGGGTCGTACGTGGCAACCACGCATGACGGGGGGCTGGATTTGATAAATTTGAGTAGTAGATGAGCTAAGAACATTTCGTGAAAGTTTCAGCCTCCCAGCTTCCCTGGTTCTGGAGTTACCCATTTTCTCGCCAAAAATTTTCACGGGCCGTACATGGCAACCACGCATAACGAGGGGCTGGATTTGATAACTTTAAG